AAGCTTTTTGAAATTCTCGGTACTTTCACACGGCAAATGTTATCAGGAAGCCGCGGTTTTTATCAAATAATTAATTATAACAGACTTGGTAAACGTGGCTTATGTAACCTAAAATGAGTTCAATGTAGCCAAAGGTTTGCTCTACATAAAAGTTGCCAGCGCTCTTTGAAAAAGGATAAAAATTTTCAAAATTCAGAAAATATTTGGCGTTACTGCTGAGCTGCTCATAAAGCCATGGCGATGACATTGCAAAGACAGGGTAGATCAGAGAGGCAAATACAGCTTTAGAAAAGAGGATGAAAATCTGAATCAAATGATACTTAAAGGCAGCGTCTAGGCAGATTCTCGACTTCTATATTTTTAGGTTATCCAGGCCTTTCCATGGCGCTGATTCCGAATATAGAACTCAGAAAGCGTGAATTTCTCAGAAAACCACCTTTTGGGGCTATTTTGGGAAAAAAGAGTGCTGCTAGTGTTATCCTTGTCGAAAGCAAGTATTAACAGGTAAACGCTGTAAGTTCGACTGCGTTGGTCATGTGAAAACACGTCAAGGCTGAGGAGATTATGTTCATAAGGGGTTGGCCGTCCGAGGGAAGTGGGCGTGGTCGTCGAGCTCGGATCTGCCTGAACGCTGCCTTTAAGTCGTCTATGGATTGGTGTTCTGTGAGTTTTAGTGAGCGATGAAAAAAACGGACAAAACTTTCGGGACAACCTAATATGTGGAAAGAGATGCAAGAAGAGGACTCTACGCTTTCTGTACAAGTGATCTTTCTAGTTTTGTCTCTTATCTTTTAAGAAAGATATTAGCCATATTTTTTGAAGATTGCACAACATAGTTGATATAAAAGAACCTGCGTTTGAAACAACTGTCATGGTGCAAGGAGTGATAAGTTTCATTTAATGGATGCTTTTGCTGTACATAATTACCTATGCCCCTATTTTCAAACGCCTAATTTTAAACGGAGTTTTCATCATCAGTGACAAGGTGGCGTTCGCAGGGAACGCTCAAGTCCCCTTTTTGGCTCGAATTGTAACATACTCGTTTCTATTCGTCTTGTTCCGGGGCAAGCCGTCATCATAATCGACTACTCTTTAAAAATTGACGCACAAATTTCAGCTAAAAGTTTTGCACTTTTCAGAGATGCCAAATCGTGACAGGCATCAAGTTTGCTAGTCTTACATTTCAGGGAATATCTTATCACAATCTATATAACAAAATTCCTATCAGTTACAAAGAATATGGAAAGTGTTTCAAATGTATAAGTTTGCTAGTAGTAACCATCCTTGCTTATAGAAGTCCACATAATGTTCAGCAAAGGAACTGAGTTCGCATGTAATTCAGAGGAATTTGCACTATGCTTGGGTTCGCCAACCCAGCTCTCAGGCTGCGTTCATACTGATCCCGAAGTTCGGGAACAGTTCCAGCACAGCGCTCGAAGTGAGCGTTGTGCTGGGACTGTTCCCGGATTACGAAATCGGTATGAACGCAGCCTCAGTGGATTCCGGAACCCACCAGAACTAGATTACCCGTTTCGTGAATACCGGAACGCCCGCCTTTTGGATTCGCAAACCCATTGGGTTCGTCGTGAATACCGGTTAAGTGGTTTTCTATGGGTTGCGGAAGCCGCTGGGTAGACTTAAGCCACCGAGTCCCGGAATTCACTAGTTTCGTGAATACCAGTCTCGTGTGTTGAGCCTACCCAAAACCCATGGGTTCGTTAATGAATACGGCCACAGGCGTCGATAGTAGGGAGCAAATCACATTCCGCAGGTTCCATAATGACAGCGGGGTAGGCTGGTGGCATGGGTCTTTAGACGTGCCTGGTGTATGTATAGTGGCAGACCCAGTGGCATCCTCACAAATATCGCCACCCATTGTAGTTAGATTATCTCACGGAAAAGACATCCGGCTCGTGCATGCCGATGCACGCGATCACTATTCACTATCCTAAGGAGATGGGGACTAAATCTGCGACAGTCTTCAAACATTTAAATCAACTTTGATCCATTCGAAGTCTGAAGCCAAAAAAGGATCCACATGCGTGGAAAGCAGAGAAAAACCAGAACTCCCCCTCCGCTCTAAAAATTGCCCGCAAACCTGATCAAAGATAACTATACAGACACCCTTAAACATTACTATAGACAGGAAAGATATATTATTAAAAGAAGAGAAAGTCAAGGCGTAACAAAACTTTAGTGATCAATGACTGTATGAAGGCCTTAGATAAACTAGGGTCCAAACAAGATCCCATATAACTCGTTCGTAGTAGGGAATTCAGGTGTAAACTTTCAGTTAACAGTAAAAATTTTCGTTTGTGGGTCAGTTAGCATCCTGAGAACGATAATGTATGAGGAGCTTGGTGATTATGCCGGTCATAAAGGATCATATGAGCTTTTGTTCAAACAAGGCTTAGTTGTGCATCCCTCTCCGCTCCCAACTTATCCCCACAAAATGTCTAAGACTTGAATTTTGGATAAGGTCTGCAACGGTATTAGCTTATAGACGTTGGTTTTAGCCCGTTCTTGGAGTAGTGAAGGCTAATTTGAGTATGAGCTCCAAATCCCAAAGATTTTGAGAAGCTGCTTTGTCCTTGTGAGGGAACTAAGTGAATGTGGCCAACTCAATGCAAAACTAGTTGTGGTTACAACAGGCTCCAGTGCTCGCCTACGTCTTACAGATAAGTCCGGACTTATCTGACAGTCTTCGGACGTATCTGACAAGATTTCAGGGTAGTTATAATAGAAAGAAAACGGACTTATCTGTAGGCGGACTTATCTGAAGGGCCTTAACTGAAGTCAAAAAGACGGAACTATCTGAAGGCAGACTTACCTGTAGATGGACTTATTTAATGGGAAGACTTATCTGTGAAATTTTAGGGTATATGCCAAGCCGGGGCCCAACACAAATTATTTCAAAGGTTTTTGTAACAAATTCCGGTATGATTCTGCTACAAACGAAATCCCCCGACACTCAAAACTTATAGATTTTAATCTACATATACCATAAGGAGTGAACTGAGAACTAAAAAAGCAAGCACCTATCTTTCAGGAAAGGTTTTCGTAGGGGTGCAATATCTAACAAAGTAATTTTGCGAACAAACTGAAAGCAAAAAAAGGAGAGGCAACGATGGAATCTGTCTATTTGGAAAGAGGTAATAAGTCACATAAGTTTACAAAATGTAATAACATAATGAATTTGCAAGTAGTATTCTACTTACACCGTTCCAATTTGGTGTCATATACTTCTCTATACGCTGCATACATTCCATTTGTTTATTATGGTCTTGCATCCAAACTGCGCGGGCTTTGTGAAACAACATGGTGGCACAGGCCAATCGTGAAACTTTTTTGAAGCGTGTGTTCAGCTGTGTGGTCGATCGCTTATATGCTACATAGCATTATTTTACGACGGAGTTTTTGCTATTTGTCCCAAAAAAGAAGTCCAGCCTGTCTCCAAGACGAACAGCGCCAGGCTTTGAGCCAAGCAGGTAGACGATAAAGATTCCAACCCTTTTCTGAACATAAGACACTTAAGGATTTTAAGTTGGTGAAAGCCAAGCTCGCAATTTGCTGAAATGCTGCTCTTAAGAAAGAGCAGAGCAAGAGCTGCTGTCATACCTTCGATAGTCTAGAGACAGGGCGCCAAAAGTGAAGGTTGTTTGAACATCTGACGTCACAAATGGTGAAGGTTGTTCAAAGAAGATCAGAGAAGAGATTATGACGTAAAACAGACATAAAAAGCAAAAGAAACGGCTATAAATCGGATAAAAACGCCGCAATAAGATTTGAAATCTTTCATTTGGCGGCTTTACAGAGTGCAAGTTTTCGCTCCAGGAGCAGCAATTCGCAACACGGGGTTTTGATTTTTGATGCTTCCTTTAAATTTTTACCCCCGCGCCGTCCCTCTTGTACCCTGCGACGTTGTCTGGATTCTTCCGCTCATCATTCTGAGCAAGTATCGTCCAAGCTGGAGAAAATTCGTTGCGAAACTACTGAAAAAGAATAAGGTAAAGAAAAACGCATTTTTTAGTAATTTCTACAAAAAAGCGGCATAAGCAAAGAAATAAGCTCGGCGACGTTGTCTACATTATAGACAGAAACAAGACCTATCGACTACACAAAAAAACTGCGTGAAAAGAGTCAAACTAGGAGAAAAACGAGAGATTTTCAAAAACAAGGTTTTTGCCGGATTTCTTGTTTAAATCATAAAAAGGAGTCCTGCGACGTTGTCAGAGTGAAAATAGAGATCAAGAGCTTCAAAATGATATATAGCTTGCTAAAATTGGGTTCGAAACAGCGAAGAAAAGTGTACCAGAGCCAAATGCCCCGCGCCCCGCATTTGGGGTAGCGAGGTAGCGCGCAGCGCGCGGAGACGCAGACGAGCAGCGGAGAGAGACCAGAGCCGGCGGGGCATTTGGCTCTGGTCATTGATCTCCGCGGGGTCATAATGAAACCCTATAATATTATATATCGTTGTGATCCTCATGACACGGCCAGGAGCACTGACAACGTCGCGGGTCTTGAAAATCACTCCATAACGAGATAGACCAGCATTCATATGGCGACTCTTTGCGCAAGATTTGAGCGCAGTTTTTCGTTTTTATTGAACTCTAGCGGCTTTAATGAACTTCCAACATTCAACCGTAGTTCAAAGAAAGGTTAACTGAGAGATTTTGCTCTAGTTTTTGATTGAATTTTTAGATAAAAACCTTCTTCTCAACAAAAAAGGCCATAAAATCGCAATCTTTCGGTTTTTTGAGCTTTTCTTTGGATGTCACTACTATATGCCTCATTCACATTCATCCTTACATAGTTAGTCATTAGTTATGTCATAATATCCGGGGCTTCGCCCCGGATGACTTGTACTCCTCTCCAGGTGAAGGTTGTGTCCTCTCATGACACTCAAAGTGAAGGTTACCAGAGTACGTGGCTCTATGTATCGAAGGTATGGCTGCTGTTCTTTCTCCGCTCTTTCTTCTCTATACTTGAAAAGATCTCACCTGTGAAAACAGTATAGAAATAGTAATAAACAGCTGATGGAGAGAACCAAGCATACCGCGAAGATTTGTAGGCGAAACTTCCGTAAGGTAAATAGGCACGAGCACAGTAAGGCCTTTAAAATAAATATTCAGAAGAAGCGGACTTGTTTACGAGAGATTTACATTAAGGATGAGAAGGTTGTAGGTTGCACATTGGGACGGAGGTAGTTTGTGATTGTTTGCTTAGACGTACATCGGACAGTCATAGAGTTCAGGTTCATTGACAAAACGAATCGCTTTCATTTACAAATTCACAACAGTCACAGTAACTTTCACACATACATATATGCCGATGCAATGCGGAATGTTTGGCAGGTTGACTGGTGTTTGCACGCAGCAGATGGGATAGACCACAAGTAGCGGCATTACTAGGTAGATTGCTTTCAAAAATTCAGGTTCAGAGAAGTGAAGGCTAATGTTTTGCAATTTCTAGAAGGTGTTGCTGTCATATAGCCGAGCATCTCAAAGGATCTCAGCATCTGTTTTACAGCAAAGCGCAAGAATAGCTGCCGAGAATTTTCAGCAGGATTTTGAAGTGTCATACAACCCCATTAGAAGTCACCTCCGGAAAAGCTGCAAAGTCGAAATATCTCAGCAAGTAAGTGCTCCACAAATTATCGCACTAACGGATTGTTTGCGTGCTGATTCTGTTTTTATTGCTAATAATTTGATAGAGCAATCACTTCCTAGCCTGAATTGATATTTATGGCAAAAATGGATCAAGTACGGCCATAAGAAGCGACACTATGATCAATACTGAACAAGCATTAAAGTGTGGTCATGGATTATAGTCACTCAAAAGGGTGATGAACTCAAGTCAATGTAATCCCGCCACGCCATCGCAGTGACGATTGGGTAAGCGATGAATACCGCGTATACCGTCCCCAGACGATGATCTTTAAACTGCATTCCATATCTGCTATGACGTCATTCTGGAGGAGTTATAAAGGATTTTTGGTGCAGTGGATAGTGGCTTGGACTGCGGAGCTGGACGTCTTGAGTTCGATTCCTCTGGGATGCTACCCGTTTTGCATTTTTGTAAATTATAGCAGGCAAGTTGCAAAACCTGTCGACATCAAAAAAAGTTGATTTTCACAATATGAAGCAATATTTCTTATTTATAATATTACGCGATTTTGAGTGGGTTACTGGTTTTATTTTGGCTTCATATTCGCCGTAAGAATAACAATTACCTTGAACTACATATCTACTGAATCCTTCCAATTTTTTAAGTAAAAATGGTATATTGGCAGTTTGCGCAATTTCTTTTTTGCGCCAGTTTTGCGTAAAAATAGACTTTTTGCTTACTTTTAAGTCTGGAGTCAATGTTTTTCGGATTTACTTGTTGAATTAATCCAACTTAATCCAACTCCGACTTTGCGAAGAATCCAGTTACCGACCCATTCTAATTGGTTAAAAGTCGCGTGGATCTGTTTGAACCCAGTTTTCAATGGTTCCACTTACTGGATTAGCTTGTGCTTTTGCACACAGTTCACCTACCCGCTGATTGGGTGCTATGACACAAATTCTATCTCAAGACGTTGGCTGCACCTCGTTATATGATTTTCGTACAGACAGACAGACAAACAGACAGACGACTAACGGACAAACAGACGCTTAGCGCTTTATTAAAAGTCATGATTGTATAAATAAGTGTAGATAAATATTGGGTTGGAAACTAAGTTTTGCAGCTTCAATAACATCCTTCTCTTTCAATATACGCACTCAAGTTTTGCCATCAATTAGATTACGATGTAAGCTACGAGCGCAGCTACTTCGCTATCAAATTCTGACGCCGCAGTGAGGTTTACGGTAGGTATATGGTATGGGGGAAAAATCATGAACGTCATAGATCTGGTTAAAACAACTTGGCAAGCGGCTACTCGATGTACTGATATACCGTATTGGATATGCACGTTAGGACTTTTTGGAGAATAATGTAGGTTTACGTGGGGTCTCACTTTGAGAAGGAGGCTTCAATTCAACGAATTAATATCCGTGTCCGGCGGGTCAAATAGCTCCAACATGCAAAGTCTCGGCGAATTTGAAGTTCCGATCCCTTAGTCATTGAAGGCTGTCGCTAACAGCTTACGTGCAGCGCTCGTTCAACTTTGCGAAGTCAGATTTTGACTTACTCAAATTCTGTTTCCCCTTGAACGGGGTAAATAAGTCAAACTCTAGCAATAATTCCTACAGAATTTCTAATCATTGTGCATGGTCTACATTGCGATCGGCTTCACTTCTGCTTATAACACTAGTAGCTGGCTTACCCGGCTCCGCCCGGCCCTGTCAAAAACGATAAGGTTATTTCTATCCCTGTACACTATACTTGGGGAAATTCGAAATTTTTTTCGAATATTCGAATATCGAATATATTCGAAAATTGAAAATTTCGAATATTCGAATATCGAATAATATTCGAAAATCGAAACTCTCGAATATTCTACTTTCGAATATTATTCGAAAATCGGAAATTTCGAATATTCGACTATTGAATATTATTCGAAAATGAAAATTTCAAATCGAATAATATTCGAATATCGAATAATTCGTTATTCGAATTTCGAATATTATTCGGTTTTCGAATGTTATTCGATTTTCAAATACTGACCGAATAATTTACTTCATGGAGACTGCTTATGAAAGGCCAAAACACTAAGAATAATTTGTTTCGTGTAAGTGCTAAGAATGGACACATTCTTATGGTACATATTGCGATGGAAAAACGGTTTAGTCGTGACCTGAAGAGAATTAGGAAGTACTTCAAAGAAGATTATATACCCTCACTGAGAGTTGCGATTGGAGATACAGCGGTCCCAACAGTATGTAGATCTTTAGGCTGACATCAACTTAGAGTATAGGCGATTTATCAATCGCTTTTCACTGTTGTAAAATTACCGTAAGACTGAAGCGGGTTTCAAAACATTAAGAGCCATTTCCAGAAAAAGAATGAAAAGGGCTGAAAGTCTTGCTTTAGATTTCTAAAAACACTCATTTTATGTAGAATTTGCACTTAACCGTAATGCTTTTTTCAAAACTTACGCCAGGTATTCTGTGTCCCCAAGAAAAGTTCCATGTGAGCCAGCGTGCGTACGTGGTGCGACGCTGCCTTTCGCTCTTTTTGACACGTTTCTCCTGAGATTTCAACGGAACTGCCCGAGGTTAACACGTTCAAAATAGCGAAAGGCAGCGAGATAATGTGGTACCTATGGGAAATTTGCTGGGGAACAAACGATACACCGTAAAAGTGTTTTTCAACGCCTTTCAAAAATATGATTGCCATTTGAAAAGCTTGAAAACTCATGCGTAGTAAAATCAGCATGCGTAAAGACACTGCTGCACAAATTTTACACCTTTTTTAGGGACAATTTTTTTGGATGTCTTATTTTGCAGTTGGTCTATAAGCTGGAGTTTCCTACTGTGATAACACACAATAAGAAAAACATGGGTGATTCGCTTTCTGCTGTATTTATAAGCTGAAGCCATCCCTACTGGATGTTACTCAATTGGCAAAAGACTTTGAGAGGTATTGGCGATCGAACGGTGTGTAGATACTTTTAAGACATCCCGTATACGCTATGCATATCGAATTCTCGAATATTTGGTGCTTATCGACTTTTCGAATAGTCAATTCTTATCGAATCTCCGAATATTCTGCGCTCGACGAATATTCGAATATTTGATGGACATCGAATGATCGAATGAATGATCCTCGAATATTCGACTATCGAATAATATTCGAAATTTTAGATTTTCGAATATTCGACTTTCGAATAATATTCGAAAATGAAGATTTTCGAATATTCGACTATCGAATATATTCGAAAACTGAAAATTTCGAGTATTCGACTTTCGAATTTTATTCGAAATCTCAGATTTTCGAATATTCGACTTTTCGAATCATTCGCATTCGAATGATTTATTCGAATGATCGAATAATTATTCGATTCGGTCCCAAGTATATTGTACACTTTTACCTTTGCATACTTCTACATGCAATTCCCTATTCCAGCTGTGTGAGTAATCAGTATGCTCACCTACCTTCCTCTCTAACCCCTCCCCCCCCCCGCAGCTCAAACTTTGCAAAAAACCAATAAAATTGATAAAAGTAAAGATAATTTTAAAAACCGATGGCGTTATTCGGCTATCCGGGCCCTAAGATGTTTTTGTGGTGGGTCTTGGTCAAACTCGGTATGTGGGGGTTAGTCAAGCCGCTGGTGACGAATTAAGTAGTCATTTCGCGTGGCAGCGGGTAAAAATCATGAATCTGCCTGAAACCCTGGCAGGGAAAGACCCAAACTTCAAGAAAATCGTGCTTGATCCCCAGTATAACGGCAATTCGTATGGTATAAAAGTTTCATATGACCGTAATGCTTTCCTTATAGGACCACTGCCGCGTGCGATACACCCTTCGGCGGCTTTTGCCTAAGGCCCCGGGCAGACTTCACGCGATTTGATCGTCGAAACTGAGTCGCGACGAGACAACTGTTACAACATCATTCCATGCCGATCAACATTCATTCGGTTGTGATACTTTTCCAGTTCGAAATTTTTGAATGTGAAATGAAAATGAATGGAAATCTTGGCGATTAGGTCGCGGCGATTAAGTCGCGTGAAGTCTGGCCGGGGCCTAAGCAAAAACAGGAAGAGGGAGATTTGTCGCGTGGGTTACTATATTACTACTTCCGCGCGCGATACACCCTTCGGCGGCTTTTGCCTAAGCAATAACAGGGGGAGGAAGATTTGCCGCGTGCGTTACGCGTTGGGACAGGTTATCAGGATGGCGCTGGAGACCGCTATGCAAAACGACCGTTTCTCCATCTCTTGAATATTTGGGATCTAAATTGCTTAAAAGCGAAAAATGTCCATTCAAACCCTGCAACTCACCATAACTTCACTATTGCGTTATGACAGCGAGCAAGCATCATATTCATAAGCGATATACTTGTGAACCGTTACAGGTAAGGTTATTTATTTATTTATTTATTTATTTATTTATTTATTTATGCATTCAATGATGCGCCTAACGAACATATTAGTTCGACAGGATTACTAGTTTGCAGTAAATGATAAGACAAAAAATAAATGCTGGTTTTTCGAAAAATCAAACTGTGCTGCAAAAATAAAACTGTAGCTCACTCTCAATAGGTTTTGAGCAAATCTGGAACTTCGACCCATCTATACCCACCGTAACCCAAGAAAATGCACTATCCTGCGAAATCAGCATGATATTCATGTTCAGCGCGCTAAATGACCACCCTAGACGAAGTTTAAAGGCAGCGTCCAGGCAGATCTGGACCTATGGGGCTTTTACGTGGAAAGTACTTTTGGGACCCTAACTAAGGCACTGCCCAAGCGGCAGCTCAGGTAGTGCTCTAATGGCTGAGATATTGCCCTCGAAACTGGCCCCCGTGAACATATTCGCATGGATTCATGGCAGTTTCGCGCCAGGATCCACGCTTTGCGCCATGAATCCACGCGAAAAACGGTCGCGGGGTTTAGTTTCGAGGGGAATATCTCAGGCGTTAGGGCACTACCTGAGCTGCCGGTTGGGCAGTGGCTTAGTTAGAGCCCCAAAAGTACTTTTCACGTGAAATCCCCATAGGTCCAGACTTGACTGGACGCTGCCTTCAAAGCAAATCTATGTTTTCGACCCCATGCCATATAACCATCACATCTCTATGAAAAGGCCCCAATATGCAGAGAGAGATGATATTGGTAATTAGCATGTCGAATAAGCCATATGGACCGAACTCCAGCCGATTTTGACTTCCTACCGTACACCTATCGTAACCACACGGGAAGACCTTCTGCGGAGAAAGTGTGATATCTGTAATCAGCATATAAAGGGCAAGGCATACTTCACGCGATTTCAGTCGCAACGCGATTTGGCAATTTGCCAGAAGTCTTCGGATCCAACATTAGCAAACTGCACATGCATAGTGTGTATAACTTACGTAAACTAATGAAATGCCCTATCTTCTGTACATTTATAATGTGCTTATAATGAGTTATGGACACCTGAAATATTGCCAAATCGCGTCGCGATTGAAATCGCTTGAAGTATGCCCAGCCCTTAAGATAACCCTTATACACGAAGTTTGAGCAAGCTCTACCACAAAAAATTTTGGGGCCCGGATAGCCGGATAGCAGACTAATATCGAACTCGTAATCAGCATGCTCGATTACCCCACTGTGCAATCCCAGCCCCGTAGCTCAAACTTTGCAAAAAAATTGATAAAATCGATAAAAGTACTCGATATTCCTGAAAACTAATATTGTATTCGGAATCCCCATGCTCGATTACCCCTCCTCCGTGCCAACTCCCAGCCCCGTAGGTGAACTCTGCAAAAAAATCGATAAAAATCGATAAAATCGATATCGATCGATGACGAAAAGTAGTTTATGGCACCCGCCGGGGCCCGAAGTGTATGTGTGCCAAGTTCGGTCCGGATCAGTTCAGAAATGGAATTTTCTATTCGGAACATACGTACATACATACGGACATACAGACATACAGACATACATACAAACAGACAATCAGCTTTATATATAAGATATCCTCGAATCATTTGTGACTTAATGTGTGAGACTACACACTATACGCTACTAACGACGGCACCCTTACAAGTAACTTTTCAGTGAAACATTTTCTAATCTGATAAAGTGCAGAAATACGTTCTAATGATTAACATATATTAATCAAAAACAAAAAAGACTGAGGCATAAGGAGAAATCACCGAAAATGAGTAAGCTCTAGTCTCTTGCAGTGTGCGTCAGTTAGCGCATATGGTGTGCTGAGCATATTGAGTTACGAATGACTCGACGGTAAATTTTCGAAATTCTTTGGTTCTTGAAAAATGCTTAGAACTTTTCATTTGTGTCTAAAACCAGAAAGTTGTGCGCGGTTATAGCCAGGGTCAAGCAAGGGGTGTGGCACACGATCGCTGGTACCCCCCCCCCCTGATTACTCTCTTTATAAGACCCCCTCCTTTGAACTATATACCTAAGATAGCATTACCAGAGTTGAGAAAGAGGTCAGGCACAAGTCTTTCGAAACCCCCCCCCCCCCTCCCATGAAAGCCCTCAAACGACCCCTTCTTCCTCCTCTCAACCTCCGGACCTCAAAGTGTGACATTCTGGAGGACACCATCTTTTTCTAGAGAGTTTTCAGATTTCTGAGAGCTGTACGCCCGCTTTTCTGTGACTGCACTTTACAATCACACGTAATTCGACGGCTGATTTTGATCTGATTGGGCATATTGAAAGGGCCATAATTTTCTTATGGGTGGGGCGTTCGGCTCCAAATTTCCAATGTAGCAAGAAGAAGCTATGTGCTCAATACTCATACCAGCAATGGAGCGCTTTCTGGATTTTGAAGGCAAGTTAAGAGGGTGCGGCACACCCCCTTAAAAGCTGTCGCAGCTTTTAAGGGTGTGTGCCGCACCCCTTTAACTATATCAAAAGAACATTTTTAGCGGACAGTATTTATGGGACAAAGAAGGAGTAGTGCTTTGTCTTGAGTGGAAAACGGATAGCCAATTCACCTTTGAAACAAAGTTAACCATGTTGGAATTCGACCATTTTACTTAGGTGGCCTAGTGTCTTGAATCTTCAGAATTCGCTCACACTTTGTCTACAAGGGTTAATTGACATGCTAATTATGGATATGATACAAATATCATGTTATCACTATTGTCAGGTTACCCAACTACGACCCCCTCCCCTTTTGACTCCTCAATACGACCCCCAGGTGTGGCGTGCCGCACCCCACGCTTGACCCTGGTTATAGCACACTTTACCTACACACATAGCACACTTTACGATCTATACACAAAGTTTTTGTGCACTATATTCAATGAGAGTGAAGTTGTGGAAGAAGTTAAAAACTTAGTTTTCAACTTTATATTCCTGAATATTAGTTGGCAAACCTGGCTCCCCCCGTCCTGTCAGTTATACAGAGTGTCCCAAAAAGACGTGCACACTGTTTGATTGTTAATAACTCTCTTGCTTTCATGTCTTTTGCCGAACTTGAGGTACCATTCTGTAGAGCGAGGATAAACTTAGATTTACAGTATGGAGCGAATCACAATCACTTTTCATTACTGTAGGATCACGGTATGAACTTTCAGCATACAAAGTCACTATCGGATAGGCCTGTTAATAGAATTTCTCCAAAAAAATCTGAAATTTGGTGTAGCAAGGTTTTCGGGCATGCTGATTCCATTAAATAACTTTTCGTCAGTTTCTCGAGCTTTCTCAATAGGGTATTATTCACTTTCTGACAAACACTGGAAAAACTTGTTACCCCAAATCTGAGATAACCTATGAAAGCAATATACTGAAGTGCAAATTTCATATTTGGAATCTTTGATTGGCACAGATCAAGAATTTCTGGCTTCCCGGCTTATTTGGCTTTCTTTCTGAGGCAAAATACCGCATTCAATGGCTTAAAATCCTCCTCGAAGTTTCTACCGTGATCCTACAGTAATGGAGGGTGATTGATAATTTCCTCCATACTGTATATCTATGTTGAACCTCGCTTTACAGAATAGTACCTCAAGCTCGGCAAAAGACATGAAAACAAGAGAGTTATTAACGATCAAACAGTGTGCACATCTTTTTGGGACACCCTGTATATTCGTCAGCACTTACTCCCTGTGCTAACTCCGAGCCCCGTAGCTTGAAGTTTGCAAGAAATTGATGAAATAGATATTAATTGATAACGAAAAGCAGCCTACGACACACGCCACGCCCCGAAGTGTATTAGTCTTAACATTAGAAGTAAATTCTATTTGAAACATACGTACAGACATACAAAAAACTTTCATTTTCATTTGAACAGACTTATGACATTGGTAAGGGCTAATGACATTGGTTTTGTATGTTCAGCATATACAGGATGTAACAACAAATGGGGGCTCAGCATAGAAGTATGCACGCATACATTATGTCGTGCGTCACTGGAGCTAATAATGAAGAGCGTGAGTTCTGCAAAAATGCTGCAGCTTTAGATCTGATCTCCACTACCCTCCACTACCTTTCCTTTCAAAAGTTTGCAAATAGCCACTTCGTTTTATCATAATCATAAGCAGGTCAAGCAATCAAAAAGGGATGCAACAAAAACGGAGGAGCAAAAAGTAGTATTAATTGTAATTTCTTTCTTTCGCAAATGTACAAAAATACTTGATTTGCGTGAAAGCACATTTATTCACACTGTTTATGTTGAAACTTTTTATTTTCTCAATCTTATGACTAGTTTGTCTCAATTATAAAAATTTAGGATCAAAAGCTCAATGTACCGTCTACCTGCATAAATTCCAATCAGGAAACGTCCAACGATAATGAGATGATAATAGCCAACCATCTTTGAGCAACCCATACAGGCACAAGCGACAAACGCGAAGATGTTTGTGTACAATAAACCGTTACGTCGACCAGCTTTGTCAGCCAACGCTCCGCTTATTAATCCACCAATGGCTGCACCGGCAGGAAAAAGTGACACGGTAATACCCCTAAAGAATTTGTTAGAATAAAACAGTGCTTTTCAACTTAACTTCCTGAACTTTTAGATGATTTACATCAATCACCTACATCGGTAATGAAATCACAAGTGGAATTCAAAAAATTGCAGTAGCGAAGCAACGGTCTTGAAACGCGCTGATAGTACGCACCCAACAATGCTCGGCATGTTTTCAAATCTCTTTCTCATATCCACTTCTTTCCGCTGACGTTAATGTTGAATGTATTTTGAAATGAAGTTACTAACCATATGATGCATGTCTACATATCTGATTTTGTGCAACTTCGCGTATGCCGTAGCTATAGCTTTCCTGCTGATGAGATATTGTGGGCCTTGTGAGTGAAGCGATTGAACGATACTTTGCCCGCACATGTTTCGACCACTCGGATGATTTGGTACTAGCAATTAATTGAGCATTAAGCATTTGCAATAAAAATGAATTCTTAATAACCCCTCTCAAATCACTTGCACAGTTTTGTGAAAACAATAGCAGTAGAGCTCAATCTGCGCTGGGAATGATGGGGTATCAAAGCTAACCATATAATAGGTGAGTTAATGCTGGTATCGGAGGCATTGGTGCAGCATATTAGATAGGTGGTGGAGGCTGAAGTATGTTGCAGGTGGAAAGAAGATTGGCCAAATTTCTACAAATTTATCGTGCGCGCTTCTCGGATGCATATTTGGGTAGCTTGTATAAGCTGTTGCAAAAGGAGCAAGTTCTGAACAAGGGCAGCGCATTAACGACGAATTATGAAGAGTCGCTGTTGTGTCGAATCGCGCAGCGAGTGGAATCGCGCGAGGTATGCCTTAGGCTCAAGAGCGACTGCTCACGTCCGCTACGCAGTCTGCGCCTCCCTCGCGAGCACATGCTCTTTGATCATTTTTTAGCCTTATTAGACCACGGAGCCCTGCCCTTCAGCCGGCGATCTAGTGGAAGCAAAGGATACATTATGTGCCCGGGAATCACGTGTTAGTCATCTAAGCGGCGAGAGTTGTGCGCTTATGAAACTATCATCACTCATCTTATCTATTACAATCATGTACCATGCCAAGATTTCAAGGCAAGGAATCTCAAAATGCCATACAGTTTCTTCTGGCAGATCAACCACGCTAGTATCTTGCAAATACAGGGTGTCCCAAAAAGATGTGCACACTGTTTGATTTTGAATAACTGTCTTATTATGAGGTCTTTCGAGAAGCAGTAAGCGCCGTTTTGTAGAGCTGGCTTAGCTTAGATTTACAGTATAGAGCGAATCACCGACCGCTCTTCGTTACTGTAGGATTACGGTAGAAACTTGAAAGAGGGTTTTGGCCATGAAAGGTCATATTTTGCCTCAGAAAGGAATCAAAACAGCCTGAAAACTTTTACACTAGGCCAATCAGAGTTGCTGATTCTAACTGTAAAGTTCCCAACCTATTATAATGCTTCACTGAAGAGTTATGCGAGGTAAGCAGTAGCGGCCATTTTCTCAATAGTGCGGTTACACCGTTTAGAAAGCTTCGCAATCTTGAGAATAGTTGAGTATTGTACTCAGCGTCCCTAAAAACCCTATAACACAAGTTTTCACATCTTTTTGAAAATTTTTGAAACGGCAGCTTTTTCCACATTGACACCATATGTTCCAAGTTTCTACCGTATTCCTACAGTAACGAAGAGCGGTCGGTGATTCGCTCTATACTGCAAATCCAAGTTGAAGCCAGCTCTACAAAATGGCGCTTACCGCTTCTCGAAAGACCTCATAATAAGAGAGTTATTAAAAATCAAACAGTGTGCACATCTTTTTGGGACACCCTGTATATGCTGAGAGCAGGAGCTGCAGCAGGCCTTTTATAGTGGCGAAAAATTTACATCAATACTAAGTGTAACCCTTTTCAGACATCGCGTGTGGTAGAATATAAGTACGCTGCGAACTTGTGAACAAGACGAATAAAAAATTTCGGTGAGTTTTGGATTAGAAAGGCAATGCGGGGTGCGTCTCATTTCGTTTTCTTCCTTGAGTGGACTTATCTATGACATTATCGCTGAATTCTTCATATTGTCACAACACTATAGCTGGAGGCGCGGATTAGTGTTTCAGTGCTGAAGAAGTCATAAACTCACCACACAATATTCATCTTTGCTTCGTCAAGAGGCGAACCAAAATGTTTTGTATGCGAACCATTGATCCAATCTTTAATAATCTACAAGCGGACACAACAGCTAGAAGTGATTTATAGCAAAACAAAAAATCAGATTTATCATTTAGTGACTGTTAGTTAGTTATGTTTGTGACTCATGGTTAGAGACACTTTTGTGCGTGAACCGATGAGACTGAAATTTGTCCCCCCTATAAATAAGGCATGGCGCAAAAGATAGACTACTTTTTGTGACGACTCGCTGGGCCCGTCGATTAATCAATTTGTTCATTTACACGTAGGGAAATAATGTTGATTAATTACTGTTAAACCATTCCTCATAGTTAATAAGCGGGCGGTGAAGCTCATTTGCATTGCTCGGCGAAAAGGTTCGGCATCCGATGTTTCAAGTTAGCAAGAAAGACCCCAGAGTTTTGTCGCAGATATAGCAATCTTGGAGCAAATAAAATCGAAGCAAAACAAAGTACAAGCTTCTATTTCATTGGGGTCAGGACCCACGATGGCCATAGCCAAGCCTGATATATATTTTATTGTTGGCAAAAGGTCGTTGGCACTGTTTCAAAAAATCACAAATTCCAACTTCCTCGACGGATTTGCACTAAATTGATTTCGCTAGATAAAAACTTTTTTCTTTGTAACAGTGTTTTTGATGCCTTCTGACAAGTTTTGATAGAGAAGCAGGAGAATGAAATCACTCCAGGTTCGACCAATTCAAGTTAAGTCGCCAAAATTCTAACATTAGAACAAAGCAGTAATTTAAGTCTTATGATCCATCCTTTACAACTGCGCACAGTTTGTGTTAGATGAGCATCTTGTGTAGAGTTTTTAATTATGAGCAAGCAACACAAAACAGTAAAGTCGAATTCTTTTGCTTTTTCGGAAATTATAACTTTTCAGAGCAATGCTTCATTGGAACTTTGTACAGCTCGAAAGTCTGGATCATAAAACTGACACCACAATCACTCTTGCTCCGAACTTTCTTCGCGGTGCGAATCCAAAGTGATTTTATTGTCGTGTATCTCACAAGGGAAGAATACAGATCGTAGTGGCAATTCGAAACGATATTCATATCATTAGATGCGCCTTGATGAGCTGATTCCAAATTTATCTCCCTTATCTGCTAGGCCCTTGTTCAGTAGAAGTATGAGCGTTTGAGTGTCCAAATTTGGTAAACTTTCAGTGCCGCGTCTTCAAGAACTACTTGTTCAAAGACATTAATTTATGTGTTCGGTCTATGTATGCATTCCCTGTGGGCTACACAGTCAAAACCATGCCAATTAATCACTCCCGAGAGCTGGTTTTTGAAGCACACCACGCATCAAAACTCCAATAATTTCACACCTTTAACCGCGCTTAGCTTCTTTTAGCGCTCAGAAGATAAGAAAGGTAGATTTGGAATCAGCTCACCAAGACGCATTTGACAATATGCATAACATTTTGTCTCGAATGCGACCTGGTATCCTTCCCTTGTCAGTTCCACTTGTTAGAGAGCAGCAAAAACACTATCGCAAAAAACGTGTTTTTTTTGTATCTAGCAATGAGTTTGTGCAGATCCGTTCATGGGAAAAAGTTATGATTTCTCAAAAATGATGCAAACGAAGTTCTGCACCAACCTGATAGTCCTCAAGTTTAAAAAACAAAAGGCCTGCTGTATATGTTTATGTACACATGCATATGCGTGTTTTCAGACAGCAGTTTACCAACAAGTCAAAGCAGAACTATCATAACATGCTCTAACACAAACGCGCACACAGTGAAAAGGAAATTGCTTGTATAAAAGCGGTTTGTTCATATCGAACAGCTAATTGAAACAATATCGCATGGACAATACTGGCTGATAGGAACAATGCATGAAGAAACTAGTTTTTTTTCGTAAACCTTGTCAGTGCAGGCTGAATGTGTTGGTATGTTACTAACTCAGACAATCGGTGCCGTAGCTCCGGAGGACAGTCGAAATCTGGCAGAGCCGCGGAGGACCCAGTTGACCATTGAGAGCGGGGCGAGAAGGCGATCCCTTTCTGTGACGTCACGGTGACGTCACAAGAAGGCAGATGGGACCCCTCCGGCGGGCTTGCAAATCTCTGCTTTGAAGGTAAGCCAGATTTTAGAGAGCCCCTGAGCACAGATTTGCGCTCCGGAGGTATGCCAGATCTGGGACACCTCCGGAGCACAAAATGGGAGGGCTCCGGAGCACAAAAGGGCAGGTCTCCGGAGCACAAATGGAAGGGGCCCAGAGCAGAAAATTGGAGGTCTCCGGAGCACAAAACGGGGGGTCTCCGGGACACAGAATGGGAGCGCTCCGGAGCACAGATTTGCGCTCCGGAGGTACGCCAGATTTGGGACATCTCCGGAGCACAATAGGTACGCAGCCAATTTGCTGTGATACGCAGCTTAGCATTTTCGAAAATAAGCTGCCATCGCTCTCGACTTACTCTTTTTTTGTCGTTCTTTCGCGCTCGCTTTTCTTTTTTTTTGGTTTTTCGTGTTTTCGTCGGCGCGTTGGCGTTAATGTTGTTTTAATTTACTCGTTTTCAGGTTTATTTCGGATTTTCGTGCGGATGCACTCAATCGCTTTTGGTATTCGGCTCTCGTTTTCGACTTGCTGTCGTTTTTCCGCGTCCTTTTCTGTTTTTTTTCTTTTTCGTTGCTCTTGGGCGCTTTTGGCGTTTATTTGTTCAATTCCTTCTTTTCAGGTTTCAGGTTTTAGGTTTTCGTGCGGATGCACTTAGTCACTTTTATGTTTGGCTCTTTTCGACTTGCTGAGACATCGTTAACTATTGATGGAGTGGTTTTTGTGGTAGATCTGGATGTTCGAAACAAAAAGTTTATAAACAATTCGTGTTGAGTCACTATTAGTATGACCGATATCTAGCTAGTGCTATCCAATGCAACGTGTTGGTCGCAGTAAGTCTGGTTAGCTTTTCGGTCCTAATCGTTTTCACATTGGGAAACTTTGCATTTTAGGAAAGTGTTTGCGGAGATCCCTTTGTTTCTCTGCATGTTCACGAGCTTTCTGAGGTACCCAGTCTTCAGAATCTCATGTACGAAAAAGTCTGCCTTGCACGTCATGATCAGGTATTGTAATGCTTGCTCAGCTTATCCTAAACTTTCGTTTCTAGGACTTGTCTTTTTGTGCGAATGTATCAGCCTATTACTCTGACAAAGTCATGCAAGCTGGAGCGAATCACTTTTATTTTTTATCATCTATCGTACTGCTTCCGTCACTCCTTTCAACTCTAGCATTAGGAGCAGGTGAGGTGGGGATTGCTATGATTTTGGTAGGTTATACATGACGTTGGAACAAAGTCATTCTAACTGCGGATATGTGGAGCATCAAAGTCCCACACTAATTCGTTTCTTGGCTTGATCCTCTGCTCAACAAACTACATTACATCATTCAAACTGTTTACATGACCTTGTTTATATCTGCTCATAAGCGACGTTCTGTTTGGTATCTGTGGCGGATATATTCAGTTCATAGTGAGTGTTTTTTATCTGTTGGAGTGCTTAAAGGCAGTACATCGGCAGAATGAGACCGTGACAAAACAAGGTCACAGGGTAGGAGCCCCCATATGGAACCTATCGGCCAAAGTCCGATCTTTCTCTACCACTTCTAACCCCCGAAATTTCAAAGCGAAAGCAGCGCTCATCTCTTGTCCTCTCCGAACCCGCCCACCCTATGGACGAGTGACTTCCGCGGTCAGAGCGTCTGCCGCAGTGCTATAAGCATGAGGTCCCGCAACGACTCTGCGTCCTCGCCATGACGGGCTTCGCGTTTACTCGTCCATGGGGTGGGCGGGTTCGGAGTGGACAGGAGATGAGCGCTGCTTTCGCTTTGAAATTTCGGGGGTTAGAAGTGGCAGAGAAAGATCGGACTTTGGCCGATAGATTCCATATGGGGGCTCCTACCCTGTGACCTTGTTTTGTCACGGGTCTCATTCTGCTGATGTACTGCCTTTAAGTTAACGTGAGTCAATTTTGTGAGGCTCAATACACGCAAAAGGCACTCGCCTTTGTAGACTACTCGTCATAAGATATGTTATCATTCATTCTTTGATTAAGAGACGCGAGCGCGCTTTGCGTACATTTCATTAACAAGTTTATGAATGAATTTAACGCGTTTGAACGGTAGAACTCATCCATGAACTTGTTGATCAAACGTACGCAGAGCGTGCTCGCCTCTCTTATCAAAGGGTGAACGATATATGTTGTATATGTTGTAGCATATGAAAAAACCAGTAATCGCAGAAGCGGTATTGCTTGCGTCCTCAAATGAACTATAGTACTTCCTCATATGAACCCTTTAGTCGCAATCCTCAATTATGGCGTAAAAACAACATCCACACTCGTCGCAGTATTAGAATAGCTGGTCTCAAAGGTGCTATTGGCCTTGAAGGTACTATAGGATATGCCGTTTCTGGCACAGTCCGAGAGCAAGCATCTATTCTGAACTTCGCCTCTTAGCTTGTTTTTTTATTTCTGGCACTAATCGGATTGATATTCATGGTATAGTGGACCTCTTAAGTAGATTATGTGATCCTTTTATGACACGTTAGAAGCTAAACCGCATCGATCAAGAGTTTACAGCATCAGCTCAAAATGTTCCTGTTTTCAATCCTACAAAAAAGCGGAGACGCGAGGTCAGAGAGGGGAGAGTGAATGAGGAAAGGGCAGGTAGCCGATTTTCGGCACTCGCTGATTTCTCAAAAAATCGTTTTCGTAGGAAAATGTGCAAGCAGAGCGACAGTACGTATGGCGTGATTACTATACGCTCGACTGCATCTATTCGATACTTGCAGCCGTCATGGAGTAAACGTGATGATACCTATGGACAGAAGCGAACTCAGGCTTAACGCAATGTACAAAAAAGTTTTGTTTTGCGATTTGCAGTAGATTGTTTGCAGTTAATTCGAAATAATTGTCTTGTCTCTTCATCTTCTATCTTCTATCTACAAACGGTAGGGGTGAGAGGGAGGGGGTAAAGAACGGAGTTGAGGGTCGCGCTGAACTCCTACCCGGGGGGCGTATTCGGCGGTCGAATGCCA